AGTTGGTGAGACAATTGTTTACTGTATGAAGTGCTCTGAACATTCATTTTTGCTCCTCCCACAAAATGCCAGAGCACGCTTAGTTATTATGATAACCAAAATCCACTGCCTATCCCACTAGACATATCCACCACACACACACACACACACACACACGCCCCAATGCTCCCCTAGGGGCATACACTCCCCGCCCTCCCCCCCCCCCAGCTGAGAACAAATCAACTAGAAAATCTCTGAGGCCCCTCCTAACTGAGCTGAAATTAGCCATGTAATGTACCAGAAATCAAGTTCCCTAGAGTCTAGTCTTAGCATCAACTGAGAATACATTAGTTTCTGTGTTCACTTATTTTTTAAATGAGGGCACTAACACACAGCTATATGGATGGGTAAACCTCTCAAAGGATTGTTGTGATAAATTACTCAGATGAAATAACTCTAGCATAACTCAAGATGGATTCTTTACATTCCCAAGGGAAATATCCTAAACACATTTGAATAACACTGTAGCTTATAATTTGTCCTCTAAGAAGACAATTTTAAAAATCCGGGGATTTTAAAGGGATGTTTCCATACTCTTATTCACCCATCAATAATGAATTAAAGTCACTTATAAAGCTACTGTGTCACCATTATTTTTCTAGACCTCATTAATTACATCTCCAGCAAGAGAGATCGGCTTGGAAAGTGCCAGGAGTGGTGGGGGGTCACTTTTAACAAACAACTGAGTTTTATTACTTCCCAAGTGTTAACTGCATGGATGACTAGAGAGCAACAGAGAAACTGATGGCTGGCAGTCAGCTGAACTCTACTTCTCCAGCCAATCCCAGCTTGAGTCGTTTATTACATGTCATTCTTCGTTAACCAAAACCACAGACGTTAAATCCTTGAATGCCTAGGACCTCTTGTACCCCATGTTGCTCTGTAAATGAAACAGAATAAAGGTCTCAGCGCTGCTTATAATTTATCAGTTGTAAAATCCATTTTTCACGTTACCTTTGCAATCTTCGTGAATTTTTTTGTTTTGTTTTAAACCATGGTCCCCCAACCCCTTCTTGTCAATTGTGTGCTCTTAATAGTAATACTCCAACAAATGGTCTCAACTCCCCACTGGCAAATTTGGGGATGTGGGAGAGTGGGCTACATTCCATGTGTTGCCTTTGAAATATGAGCACGGAGAGATGACTTCACATGGCGTGAGCACGCCAACCAAATTCAGGCAGAGGGCTACAGCCACGACACAGACGGTCCTTTCATCTCAGCTCTCTTCAAAACTGCCATAAATTATTGCTGTTGCATCTAGTGCCAAGATCCTGGGGCCAATTTCCCTGTTTAAGAGGGACTTGAGGGGTATCTTCCACCACCCTGCTGGCTCCACCAGCTAAGGCCTCTCCTCTCCACCTCGCAGAACACGTCGGTGGCTGCACACACTGGTGTCTGCCCTGGGCAACAAAGCCATAGTTTGGCCATCTGAAGGCTGAGAGAGATGTACCGGAGAAGTCAGAGAAGGGAGACAGCAGGGAGAAGCAAGGGGAAGCAATTACACCACTTCCAAACCCTTTCAGAACTTCAGACTGCATGGAACTCAGAGTGAAACCTCACTCTTTCGTACCTTCATTCGTCTTTGAAGCCAGAAATTGGTGGGAAGGCTGGCTTACGAAAGCACAGCCCCAGACCTTCATGAAAAGCAAATGTAAGTGATCCCCCCAAGTTTTCTGTGTGAGCTTTGCCTTGAATTACTCTGGCTGCCACAAATAGTCTCCCCCGTCTTCTCTTCACGTCCTTTATCCTCACACCATCATTCCTCAGATTTAGGGCTTGCAAAGAAACAGAGATTTCCTTTTCAGCAGAAGATACTGTGACCAAGTCTCGTGTGGGGCTGTCTGTACATCAAAGAAATGGAAGTGTCTTGTGCTCTGTCCATCCCCCTTTGTAAGAAGTAATCGTGTCCAGCTGGGCCCAGTTGATGGAGCACATGTTCTGTGTTCACGTGGTTTTGCTGCAGCACCATAATGAATGTACTTCTTTGATGGGGGAAAGAAGGTCCATGAAATAAACAGTGTAAGGATTTGGATTTAGAGCTGGGAACATGGGCTGCTTTGTTCTTAGGACAACTGCCTCCCCATCGAAAACATGCCCCCATGTTAAAGGATCTGTCTTTTCTCTTCCAGCCACAACCCTCAAGCTACAATAACAGGCTCGTGATTTTTTTTTTTAATGCCAAGGTTATGAATACTCTTTTATGAATATTTTCCTTTGAACTCATTTCTCTTGAGAAAGAAAAATAGCCCTATGCATCGCAGAGTTGACAGCAGACAAAACATGCAAATTGTTCTCTTAGGGGCAGTGAAATGCTCCAAGATGCACATAGAAAAATTCCAGATACAACGTAATGTTTATGGAGCACTGTTTTTGCAGCTATCATTTTTAAAAAGTAGTATTTCTGGTTGGCGTGTATTATACAGAACGTATTTCAGAGACTAATATCAAGACTAATACCTTAAAATGTTTCCCTTGATGGCCTCATGATGGCTTTTCTCATATTATTGCAAACTCTTAGTGGACAGAATTTTAGGATGTGCGATTTGGAAGGGAGGAAAACTTCACTGGATTAAGCAGTTTATGTTTTAATTTTTCCCTTTATCTCGTTTCAACATATCCTCCAACTTCCTCCTCTAAAAATAATTCAACTAATGCCTACTCAACAGATTATAGTACATCTATTAATCTCATTCTGCTTCAAAAGGAATGTATTATTTAGGCATATGTATATGCCTAGATAGAGGATATATTACTCTCAACTAATGTTTAGGTTCCTTATTCAAACTTCTTTTTATTCTGTTTCAATATCATCAGTTAAATCATTTATTTTCTGATGTTTAAAAAAAAAAAAAATGTGTTTCCCTGAACCCCTTTCAAATGTTTTATCTTATCCAAATAGTAATCCAGAAAACTCAGCCTCCCTTAATCCTACTTTGGGGCTTAGATTCTTTAGCCTTGGAAGCACTCATGTTGATCTCTGTTATACCCATGCTGATGTAAAAGCAGCCTTTGCTGTGGCGGGGAGATAATCCTGCTTGCAGATGGTGTTCCTCTGAAGCCTAAGCTGTCAGCCGAATAATGGCAACTGTGCTTTACGAATGCTCTCCCAGATTGAGTGAGTGACCTGTAATAACTTCAAGATATAGTTGTTGCTTTGCATTTGGCATTAAGAATATTCTGCAGCTCTGGCCAGTTGGGTTCAGCGATTAGAGCGTTGGCCCACGGACCAGAGAGTCCTGGGTTCGGTTCCGCTAGGGGCATGTACCTCAGTTGCAGTTTGTCCCTGGTCCCGGTTGGGATCGTGTGGGTGGCAACCACTTGATGTGTCTCTCTCACATTGATGTTTCTCTCTCTCTCTCCCTCCTCCTCTCCCTCCCGCTCTATCTGAAGATAAATGCCAAAAAAAAAAAGTCCTTGGGTGAGGATTAAAAAAAATAAAGAATATTCTTCAAAGTTATTTTCATGTAAAGAGGAAGTACTCCACAGTGGTTCAAAGCATTAGTGTTCGAGCCAGACTCCTTGGGTTCAAATCCCACTCACTAGCTGGGTGATCTTGAAGAAGACATTTAACCACTCTGAGCATCATAAAATAGGGTTAATAATTCCACCTACCCCTTAAGATTGTTGTGAGGATTAAGATGGTAAAAACATTTAAAGCATTTATGACACTCTGACATAGACAGTACTCAATGTTAGCTCATAATATCATATAACTTACAAAAGCATGACATCAACATAATTTCAGAAGCAAATTTGTACAATAAAATATCCTAGAAAAATCTAATTCTATAAAATTTATAAACATGAAATTACAGATAATGTGTGTGTGTGTGTGTGTGTGTGTGTGTGTGTGTGTGTGTGTCTATGTATGTGATTATACAATTCTGGCTATTCTCTTATCAATTATATAGATAAAATTACATTTATTCTTTTTTTACCTGGAAAGTAAGTTTTAGGAAGTAAATTCCTTTTCCAATGACTTCCTTTGTCATTGAACTTAAAGCTGCCATTGTTTTCCCACTCAGCTGGTGTCTCCAGCCCTATCCAGCCCCAGCACATTAATTCAGTGAGTATTTATTAACTGTCTGCTCAGAAAAGGGAGCATAAGAAGCACAGAAGCCCCAACTAGCTTCATCTATTAGAATCAATTTTCTTTTTTTTTCTTTTTTTCCCTTTATTGATTCTAGAGAGAGGAAGGGAGAGGGAAAGAGATGGAAACATCAATGACAGAGAACATCGACTGGCCGCCTCCTGCATGCCCCTACTGGGGATCTGGCCCACAACCTGGGCTTGTGCCCTGACCGGGAATCGAACCGGCGATCTCTTGGTGCATGGGTTGATGCTCAACCAGTGAGCCACACTGGCCTGGCAGGATCAATTTTCTAATTGTTTAACTGATCTAGGTAATTGTTTCCTGTAACTTAAGAAAAATCCATTGAATTCTCATGTGTTTCCAGCCCATAATTTTGCTTCCATGAATCAGCTGAAAAAAAAAAAATGCTAGAAGTAATTAACTAAACTTAAATAGCATATAATTTACATATGCAAAATTTATCATAACTAATGTGTCTCTACTCTGTTACCTTCATACTGACTCTGGAGGCCACTCAACAGTCTTTTTCTGTCTTCATCTCAATCCAAGATCAAAACAGCAAATAAATGTCTGGTAATTATATAATTCAACAGAAAAAGGACAAAAGTCTTATAGACATAGTTTAATTATACTACATTTTAAAAATCTGCATTGAAAATGTACGAGGAAGAACAAAAGATTGGATATTCTGTTAATATAATGGCATTATAGTTGTCTTCTTTTTTCCATTTCCTGTTTTTTGTTACTGACTATATTATTTTTAAAATAAAAAATGTTAAATTTGTAAAACTCTGCAAAGGTTGAACTATTCTTTAAATTCTAAAAAATTTCACTTATCTACAAAAAAAGAAAAAAAATTCACAACATGGCATTTAATTCTGATTTAATTTCCATGAAATAAACCTACAAAGATTTTTCAAAGAAATTTGAGAATCTTCAATCTACATTTCTGTTTTGTATTATATTTAATAAATTCCCAAGTACTTTAAAAAATCACAAAATTAATTAATACTATGTATTGCACATCACCATCATATTTAAGTACTAATTAGAAGACCGTGATACTAAATATATGAATCTAATTTAGCTTCATCGTTTCTTAACTAAAAGAGTTTTTAAAGATATTTATTTTCTATTTTCCTTACATTTCCTTTTTAAATCTCTAGATAAAAATTAACAAGAAATTTAGGACATAAAATAAATCTAGGATTTATTCATCACATATTCAAAGCTACCTACAGAATAAATCTCTGAGATAGAAGTTTCCACACAGCATTTGTCTGGAGTCAGATTAGTCAGATTATTTTAAACGGTACCTTGACTTCTGAATTTGATACTAGATTCGATTACCATAAAGTAAATGAGAATATTACAAATGCAGATATTCTAACACAAAGACTTGTATAATTTTGTTTAGATTGTCAATGGTTGTCTCATCCAAATTTTCTTCATTGTCATCCATGGTATGCCATACTTCAGGAAAAGGAGATGCTATCAGATGCAAAACAGGAACACCTAATAAGAAAGAACCAAATTGTAATTAAGTGCATATTTAAACTAGAAAGTGTCATTTGGCAAGCAGTAGTCTGAGTAGGAGCTCTGTACCATCCATAAAAAGACAACTGATAATCCATCATCTGTGTACTTCCCTTATATCTTACCCTTGTACTCCAAAGTAATTCATTCATTAAACAAATGTTAATTAATTCAGTGAGTAATTAGAAAGCACCTACTATACACCTGTCCCTATTCTAGAAATTGAGGTTTCATCAGTAAAAAGGCAAAGCCCTGGTCATATAGAGCTTACATTCCAGTAGAGAAAGAAGCAAGTAAACAAATATTAAAAAAATAATTTAAAAAAGTGATAAGGCACCCTCGCCAGTTTGGCTCGGCGGTTAGACCATCGGCCTGCGGTCCAGAGAGGCCCGGGTTCGGTTCCCGCTAAGGGCACGTACCTCGGTTGCAGTTTGTCCCCGGCCCTAGTTGGGTTGTGTGGGAGGCAGCCACTCTATGTGTCCCTTGCATGTCGATGTTTCTCTCTCTCTTCCTCTCTCTCCCTCCCACTCTGTCTGAACAAAAAGTGGAAAAATGTCCTTGGGTGAGAATTTAAAAAAATTTTTTTAAAGGATGCGGCTTATTAAGAATAATAAAATAGCCCTGGCCAGTGGTTAGAGCATCGGCCTGTGGTCCCAAGAGACCTGGGTTCAGTTCCCGCTAAAGGCATGTACCTTGGTTGCAGTTTGTCTCCAGCCCTGGTTGGGTCGTGTGGGTGACAACCACTCAATGTGTCCCTTTCACGTCGGATGTGTCTCTCTCTCTCTCTTCCTCTCTCTCCCACTCTATATGAACAAAAAAATGGAAAAATGTCAGGTGAGGGTTAAAAAAAAAAGGAATAATAAAATAAGTGAGGAAATAGAGAATGAAAGGCTGACAGCAAGGTCAAAAAGAGGTATTTAAAGTCAGGGAAGGCCTCTGTGAAAAGCTAACATTTAAATAGAGCATGCAACAAAGGAAAAGCAAGCTGTGCAAAAATCTGGGGAGGAGCATTCCAGGAAGTAGCATTAGCAAGTGCAAAGGTCCTGAGGTAGGAATGTGGTTGGCTAACTTGAGGAACAGCAAGGAGCCCAGTGTGGCTGGATACAAGCAATTTTGACTAGATTCAGACATAGGAAGTAATGTTGGAGCAGGAAAACAGAATCAGAAAATGGAGGCCCTTGCAAGCCATGGTAAAGACTTTTGGTCTTATTCTACATGATAGCAAGCCACCAGATCTCTAAAGCTGGGAAGAAACATAATTTGATTTACATTTTTAAAAGATAACTCTCATTCCAATGTAAAGAATAGGAAAGCAAGAGCAAACACTGGAGACCAATTGGAAAGCTACTGCAAGAGTCTTTGGGTTCATGTAAACTTCCACCATTGACATCAAGAATATTGCTTCCTCATTAATCAGAAAATATAAGATTTAACACAAAGTATAAGGATACAGTCTAACTCTATAAAAGTCAAGGCATGATCAATGGAACATGAGCTTTCATAAATATTCTAGGTGTAGAAAAAATATATAAAGGTGTCCTCAAGGATTTCAAATGACTTTCATGAAAAAAAATAGAAGCCATAAAATGATTGGTGGATGACTTAATTATTCAATTAATTAAATCTAATGGCTCCTTACCCTTCCAGATTTTTGCAAAAGCAGAGAAAATACAACAGGTTAAAAATACACATGTGCATGCACATATACATATCCACACACATTCTTACCTCTTCTTAAAAATGGAACATGGTCATCCTGAATCACACCTCCATAGCCATGATTCTGGAAATACCGCTTCTCCAAAGAATGATGCTTGAGCAAACCTAATTCATGGAGTTCAAGTTCTGCAGATGACAATTAGACAGTAGATGAATATCTATTTTTATCTGATCAATACACAGAATGCATAAGGAGTTTGAAATCTTAACACATGTGGCCATTGTTTTTAAAGCATGCAGCAGTGAGCAATGACAATAAACATCTGACTGAACATGGGTGTGTACATTTTGGAGTAGTTCCTGGGTGAGGAGGGTCACATATGGCTGTAACTTTACAGGTGAGGATCTCCTTAGAGGTAGAAACTCAGTAGAATAATGGAGAGATGAAGAATGAGAAAAACAGAAAAAAATGGGGGGGGGGACACTTATGTAGATACTTACAGATCTGAGATCCTACATGAAGAATACCTCAAGAGGAGATGTGGGGCTTGAAAGGGTAGTACTCAAACAGAGTAGGAATGCAGTTTACTGAGTGGCTACTCTACAGAAAAGGGTTACCTGCTATGACGTGCATTAGTGGTTCTCAAAGTGTGGTCTCTGACCAGGGGTATCAGCATCACCTGGCAACTTGTTAGAAATGCAAACGATCTGGTCCCACTTCTGAAACTCTGGGGATGGAGCTCAGCAATGTGTGTTGTAATGAGCTTCCAGATGAAGAACACCATAGTTTGAGAACCATTGGCCTGCATTCCATCACTCGTCATCTTGTAACAGAACCCATGCGTTCTATGTTACATGAGTTCTATGTTACATGAGTTCTATGTTACAAGATGATATGAGATCACAAGAAGAGTATAAGCCAAATGAATGAAACTCATCAAGATAGCTGGGTTTTTTTATTTGTTTTTTATCCTCACCCGAGGACATTTTCCCATCTTTTGTTCAGATAGAGTGGGAGGGAGGGAGGGAGGGAGGGAGAGAGGGAGAGAGAGAGAGAGAGAGAGAGAGAGAGAGAGAGAGAGAGAAACATCGACATGAAAGGGACACAGTAAGTGGTTGCCTCCCACATGACCCAACCAGGGCCAGGGATGAATCGCAACCAAGGTATGTGCCCTTAGCAGGAACCAATCCTGGGTCTCTCTGGACTACAGGCCGACGCTCCAACCACTAAGCCAAACTGGCCAGGGCTGGCTTTTGTTTTTAATTGCTAAATTTAAAGTACAAAACTAGACCAAGTGGTGAGCATGCATATGTAATATTTTAGGAAAATGGAGAAAGCCCTTACCAGCTCCAAACAATATTCCCATCTGTTTATTGACACTTATAATTCTTTCATCTTAAGATACAACTTTTTCTTACACAATTAGACATGGTTTAAGTATAAGTACCACTAGGAGAAGGCAGCACAATGGGTTAAAAATACAGTAAGGTGTGAGTTACTGATAAATTCATTCTGGTAGAGGAAATAAGAAAAGTGCAGAATTTCCGTGAAAAAAGGCCAAACCTAATTTTTTGAGGCTACCATCAAAGTAAAGAAAACATGCTTAAAGAAAGAGGCCTAAGAAAGATATTTAATAATACCATACTGGCGATTCTTTCAAACCAGAAATTGGAATTTGGCAAAGATAGGTAAGTATCTGAGGTTCAAGTAAATGTTTCTCCTGTAATATTCTAAATCTGCATATTGGTAAGTTCCGAACTCGTGGCAAAAGCATGAGTTGAGAAGGCAGTGCTTTTCCAGCTGCTTAGAACTGTTCCGAGAAGTTGTGTAAGGAATTTCTGGCCTGAAGCTCTTTCCTCAAAAGCAGGCCTATGGTCTAGGTTCTGTAATAAAGGCCTGTCTTATATTCATCTCTCCCTGATGTCAATTGGTGTTTTTGCTGTGTGGGAGACAGGGGAAGGATGTCTGTGTTTGGAGGAGAGGGGAGTGGAGGTATGAAGGAAAGAGCTTGTTCTTCGTTTCCTTCTCCAAGCCCCAAGCCTCTCTTGAAGCCATAGATACCTTTGCTTCTTTGCCTGCCCTGACCTAGTCTGGACTCATCTACTCTCTTTGATTTGACATTAAACCTTCTCTTGAAGGATCTTGACTTTTTCTTGCAACCTGATCTCTTACTCTTTTGGAAAATAGGCAGAGATTGTACTAGATTTAAAGGAAAGTCATGTCTGGATAAGGCAGAAAAAAAAGATGACAAAGACATGGATGGAAAGGAAAGAAAAATTAAAGGATATCTTCTGGTGTCATTATAAGGACATATATTCATCATTAGTCAATATGCTTTGCTTAGTCAAGTTTTCTCTAACAAATACATTCCATATGCTTCAAACAGGACTCTGGGAAAATATTCTCAAACCATTTCTGAAGATATGCTAATATGAAATTTAGTATTTTATGTTTTCATATCAAAATGCAGTTTCATGCAGGAAGATAAAGTGGGCCTACTAAAAGAGATGAATAGGGCCCTAGCCAGCGTGGTTCACTGGTTAGAGCATCAGCCCATGCACCAAAGGGCTGTTGGTTTGATTTCTGATCAAAGGCATGCACCTGGGTTGCAGGTTTAATCCCTGGCCCTGGTCAAGGTGCATGTGGGAGGCAACCAATCAATGTGTCTCTCTCACATTGATGTGTCTGTCTGTCTCTCTCTCTCTCTCCCCCTCCCTCCCTCCCTCCTTCCTTCTCACTCTTTCTGAAGATAAATGGAAAAGTATCCTCGAATGAGGATTTAAAAAAAAATTTACACCCCTCCTCCACCCCGGATTAAGAACTCCTGAATTATATAAGTGAGATAAAATATCTAGTGTAGATCCTGACACATGGTAGATAAATATTTGCAGAGTCTATGATTCTAAAGACATAGTATGTATTAACTCATGAATATATATATATCTCCTTGGGTGAGGATTAACAAAAAAAGAGAGAGAGATGAATAGGAATAATTAACTAATTCATAAAGCAAGGGGGAAAGCCAATAAAGTATTCGAATTATACACTTAAATCATAAATTTTGGATTCATTTATTTTTAAAATATGTTTTTATTGATTGTTTTTTAAAGAGAGAGGAAGGGAGAAAGCGATGGAAACATCAATGTGAGAGAGATACCTAGATCAGCTGCCTCCTGAATTCCCCCTACTGAGAATCGAGCTGGCCACCCGGGCACGTGCCCTGACCGAGCATTGAATCAGGACCTCTCAGTCCATGGGACAACACTCAATCCACTGAGCCACACCTGCAGGGCTAAATTTTGAATTTTAAAATGTAGTGTTTGTCAGGAAGAAGAAACCCAGTTTGACTCATTTAATAACAGTGGTGCTTACCAATTGCTTGAAGTCTATCAAACCATCGAGCAGAGTTTGGAAAAAAATTGAGAAATGTTGGGTTTGGAGCTCCAATTAAATCTAATAAGACCAATAAATCCTAAGAGAGAAAAAAATATTGTTTAATCACTGTCACTAAAAACACATTTCATACTCATCAATGTAAAACAAAAACAATGAGTCAAAACTAACAGCATTTTAATAATTGAGAATAAGCTAGGGAGCTGTATAAATAAACAAAAGGTTTAATAGCATTGCAAGCTGATAATTTTGGAGAACTTATTAAATCTTGCTTTGCCATTTAATGACAATGTGTTGATTCTTTGTGTCTGGAATCTCAGAAGGATATCACTGAGGAAAAATTAGAAAGAGGACATTTGGACAAGTATTTCATAGATTTATTTTCAGATGGGGTCTTAGCCTGTCTGATCTCCAATTACATTCTAATTTGCCATTTTATCCTTTGTCTGCAATGACATGACTACCTACAGGAGAACACTTACTATTTATTCTTCAAAGCACTTATAAGAGCAATTTCTTGACCAGGAGCTACAGGACCTGATATCCCTGGCTCTCCACTTCCTTTTCTATAAACCAGAAACTCAAACTGGCTGATCTCTAAAGGTCCCTTCCAGTTATATGCTTACGATTAAACCAGTTTGAGCCATAAAACATTAGCAGGCTTGAGGACTCCCTGACAACCACCCCTCCTCCACCCCAGATTAAGAACTCCTGAATTATATAAGTGAGATAAAATATCTAGTGTAGATCCTGACACATGGTAGATAAATATTTGCAGAGTCTATGATTCTAAAGACATAGTATGTATTAACTCATGAATGGTGATTAAATATCTCCATTGGGAAAACACAGGCTTGTTTGAAATCAGAATATATTTACAAGGTTAGATAAGCTAGTAAGAGTTTGTTTCCAGGAGGAAAAATAGTCTTAATCATCACTATGGATTCATAAATTTGGACTGATAAATAACTTTGTTCTTCCTACTGATCAACCAAGTCTCTCCTCCTCCTCTGAATCCTTTTTATCCCTTAGGGCTCAAGCGACCAAATGAGGTGCTGACTATATTCCCCTGATCCATTATGAGCTGCCAGTGGGCCATAGGATGGAGAGAAAGCCAACATGGGATGTGTCAGAGTCATAGAGGACATTTAATTTGACCACGTGGGCTCAGAGGGCAAAGGACTGGGACCAGTGGAGTGGTTGGGAATAAGCTTTCAGTTCACAGAGAGGGTGCAGGTCAGGGATGAACAGAGGCATGGGAAAGAATGAAGACGCAAGGGTAGCATAAGGTCCCAAAGTGAGATTAGTGAGGACCCAAGACTAATCGAAGGTCAAATATGGAAAGAGAGGGGATTCCAAAATGGTGGCGGAGTGAATGGACGCTACACAGACAATCTCCCAGGACCAAACTGGAATTACAATGAAAAGAAAGAAACAGGAAAAAGCAACAGAAAAGCAGCTTGGAGGACCACATAACCAGGGACACTTACTCAATCCTGGTAGGACTGCGGAGGCGTGAGATGGGGGGGGGGAGGCTAGGAGCCCACAGATGGCAGCGGCCTTAGCTGTGAGCAGCAGCCTTAGCTGTGAGCAGCGCCCTTGGGTTACACTCCCAAGTGACTCCACAGGCAGAGCCAGGACAGACGCACAGCCACTTACCTTGGGCTCCGGCAGAGGGAGGGCGTACTGGACTGGAACTGTGTGGGGACACTCAGGATTTGGAGGGTGCTCAGAGCTTTTGCTGAGTTGTGGCCCCACAGGGCTGTGGTCATCTTACTCCTTCCCAGGGTTCTGGGGAGAGGCGGAGGCCCCTCCCTTGGAGATTCAACCCCACCCAGTGGCCATTGAAATGCAGATTGAGGCCCATTAACAACCAGCATCTGCCCTACCCTCAGGAAATCCCCTTACACTGAGCACCTGAGGGAGTTTTTCATTCAACTGAGAAGCCAAGGCTCTTCAGGTAACCGCTATTGATAGCCTCCAGGCAAAAAGCTAGAGGATAATTATACCATCCCTGGGCTAGCAACTCTAACAAGGAAAGTAAGGCTTGACAGTGGTGTTTAATGTGGGTCCTCTCTGGCTCATCCAAACCCAGGAGAGGGAGCCACAAACAGCGGAACACCAACACCCACAGGGAAAATTTGGCAGACTCCAAAACCCACTGTGATAGCCAAAATGGTGAAACACAGAAACAAAAGCCAAATGAAAGAACAAGAGACCTCTACCGAAGATGGGATAAAAGAGGTGCAGTTAAGTAGCACTACAGGCCTACCTCAAGAAACAAGAAAAATCTCTAATAGACTATCTAACCTCACAACTTAAAGAACTAGAGAGCAAACAAAAAGAAAGCCCCAGAGCAAGTAGAAGGAAGGAAATAGTAAAGATCAGAGCAGAAATAAATGACATAGAGTCCAAAAAAACAATTCGAAGAATCAATGAAACAAAGAGCTGGTTTTTCGAAAAGATGAACAAGATTGATAGACCCTTAGCTAGACTCACCAAGAAACAAAGAGAGAGAACCCAAATACACAAAATCAGAAATGAAAGAGGAGAAGTAACAACTGACACCACAGAAATACAAAAGATTATTAACAACTACTATGAACAATTATATGGCAACAAATTCAACAATCTAAGCGAAATGGACAAATTTCTAGAAACACATAGTCTCCCAAAACTGGACCGGGAAGAGATAGAAAACTTGAACAGACCAATAACAACAGAAGAAATTGAAGATGTAATCAAGACTCTCCCAGCAATCAAAAGCCCAGACCCGGATGGCTTCACAGGGGAGTTTTACTGAACATTCAAAGAAGAACTAACACCCATTCTCCTCAAACTATTTCAAAAAATTCAAGAAAAATTCAAACTCGTTTTATGAGGCCAGCATAATTCTAATTCCAAAACCAGAAAAAGACATTACAAAGAAAGAAAACTACAGGCCAATATGCCTGATGAACATAGATGTCACAATCCTGAACAAAATGCTAGCAAATCAGATCCAGCAATACATCAAAAAAAGTATTCACCATGACCAAGTGGGATTCATCTCAAGGATGCAAGGCTGGTACAATATTTGCAAATCAATAAATGTGAGACACCACAAAAATAAAATGAAGAATAAAAACCACATGATCATATGAATAGATGCCGAAAAAGCCTTCGACAAAATCCAGCATTCATTTCTGAGAAAAATGCTCAGCAATGTGTGAATAGAGGAATCATATCTCGACATAATAAAGGCCATATATTAAAGACCTACAGCCAACATCATACTCAATGGACAAAAACTAAAAGCATTTCCCTTAAGAACAGGAACAAGACAAGGATGCCCACTTTTGCCACTGTTATTTAACATAGAACTGGAAGTCTTAGCCACAGCAATCAGACAGGAAGAAAAAATAAAAGGGATCCAAGTTGGAAAGGAGGAAGTAAAACTGTCATTATTTGCAGATGACATGATACTATACGTAGAAAACCCCAAAGATTCCATCAAAAATGTATTAGACTTGCCCTGGCCGGTTTGGCTCAGCGGTTAGAGTGTCCACCTGCGGTCCGGAGAGACCCGGGTTCGGTTCCCGCTAAGGGCATGTACCTCGGTTGCAGTTTGTCCCCGGCCCTGGTTGGTCGTGCGGGTGGCAGCCACTCGATGTGTCCCTTTCACATCGATGTTTCCCTCTCTCTCTCTTCCTCTCTCTCCCTCCCACACTGTCTGTACAAAAAATGGAAAAATGTTCTCGGATGAGGATTAAAAAAAAAAAAAAAAAAATTTATTAGACTTAATAAATGAATTTGGCAAAGTAGCAGGATACAAAATTAACATCAAGAAATCGATGGCATTCTTATACACCAATGATGAACTCACAGAAAGAGAAACTGAAAAAACAATCCCATTTACCATTGCAGCAAAAAAATTAAGATACCTAGGAATAAACTTAACCAAAGAAATAAAGGACCTATTTGCAGAAAACTACAAGTCATTGAAAAAAGAAATAGAGGAAGATATAAAAAAAGTGGAAGCACATACCCTGTTCATGGATTGGAAGAATTAACATCATTAAAATGTCCATACTAAACAAAGCAATCTATAGATTCAGTGCAATCCCCATCAAAATACCAATGACATACTTCACAGAACTAGAACAAATACTTCAAAAGTTCATATGGAACCAAAAAAGACCTCCGATAGCCACAGCAGTCTTGAAAAAGAAGAACAAAGAAGGAGGGATCACATTACCAGATTTCAGGTTATACTACAAAGCCATTGTAGTCAAAACAGCCTGGTATTGGCACAAGAACAGGCATATAGACCAGTGGAACAGAAAAAAGAACCCAGAAATGGACCCAAGGCAATATGCTCAATTAATATTTGACAAAGGTGGCAAGAACAAACAGTGGAGTAACAAACAGCCTCTTTAATAAATGGTGTTGGGAAAATTGGACAGCTACATGCAAAAAAATGAAACTAGACCATCAACTTACACCATACACGAGAATAAACTCAAAATGGATAAAAGACTTAAATGTGACTCATGAATCCATAAAAATCCTAGAAGAAACTGTAGGCAACAAAATTTCAGACATCATATGCAGCAGAATTTTCACTGATACATCCCCTAAGGCAACAGAATCAAAGGAGAAAATGAACACATGGGACTACATCAAACTAAAAAGCTTCTGCACAGCGAAAGATACAATCATCAAAATGGAAAGGCAACCCACTGTATGGGAGAGCATAATTGCCAATGATATATCAGATAAGGGGTTAATTTCCAATATATTTAGAGTACTCATACAACTCAACAAAAGGAAGACAAAGAACCCAATTAAAAAATGGGCAGAGGAACTAAACAGACACCTCCCCAAACAGGACATACAAATGGCCAAGAGACATATGAAGAAATGCTCATCATCACTAAACATCAGAGAGAGGCAAATTAAAACAACAATGAGGTATCACCTCACACCTGTCAGAATGGCAGCCATCAACAAATCATCAAGCAACAAGTGTTGGCGAGGGTGTGGAGAAAAGGGGACTCAGTACACTGCTGGTGGGAATGCAGACAGATGCAGCCACTATGGAAAACAATATGATGTTACCTCAAAAAATTAAAAATTGAACTTCCATTTGACCCAGTGATCCCACTTCTAGGAATATACCCTAAGAAGCCTGAATCACCAATCAGGAAGAATATATGTACCCCCATGTTCATAGCAGCACTATTTACAATAGCTAAGATCTGGAAACAGCCTAAGTGTCCATCAGTAGACGAATGGATAAAAAAGCAGTGGTACATATACACAATGGAGTACTATGCAGCGGTAAGAAAGAAAGATCTCTTATCCTTTGAGATGACACGGAGGGACCTGGAAAGTGTCATCTTAAACAAAACAAGCCAAAGTAAGACAAGTATCGTATGATCTCACTTATTTGTGCAATATAATGAACATAACAGTCTGAGGAATGGGGTAGTCCCAGAGACGTGGAAGTGGGGTACAGACTGACAATCCCCGGAAGAGGGGGTGGGGGTGGAGAGAGAAACCACAGAACTTATATGCATGTGTGCATGAACAATGGACATGGACAACAAAGCTGGGGACAGGGTGGGAAGGAAGGGGGAGGAGGGAATCAGTGGGTGGAAAAGGAGAAACATCTGTAACAAAAATAAATTAATTAATTAAAATTATACATATATATACTTATATACATATACATATACATATATATATATATATATATATATATATATATATATGGAAAGAGAATCAGAGTAGGGAAAGAATTCAAGAACAGGGTGAGCGATGGGGGTAGAGGGTAGGCCCAGGAATGGAGGTGAAAATGGAGTCATGTGTTACACCCATTACTTGGTAATAAGAGCAGAGTTTTAAGACAGCATCAGAATGTCTCCATCCGCATGTCAAAAATACCACATCAAAATCAACACATCAAAATGTCATATACACAGTTGGAGCCATTATAATGCTTTGCAGCCACTGAGGAGATTCTTCACTCCCATCACATACCCATGTCCCACTCTGACCCATTTCCAGAGACCCCCACCTCCTTGGGCCTCCGAGAGGCCACAAAGAAGGAATGCTCTCTCCACCTCTACTCAGTACCGGGAGAATGTGTTCCCATTGGACCAAACTGGATCTGATGTCTCCTTATGTTTTACATCTTTTAAATTAAACTCTTTTTACATTTAAAAATTTTAAATTAAATTTTTAAAATTTACAATGTAAATATTCTTATCACTTTAATGAAATATTTTAATTAAACGTAATTGCTAACCCAGAATCATTATTTTTAGCTCTGGGATTCCTCAAAAACCCAGCGCCTGCCAAGGAATGCTCTATTATAAACACTCTGCTCCAAGGATCCTGTGGCATTTTTAGGTCTTTAATTGGCTTTAGCTTTGACTTCCTTTGAGACAGCCCCTGCAGCCAGAACACGGATATCACCCAGACTAACCATGCCGTGCAGTTGGTTGGTGTCCCTCGCTCCGGGTGGGTGTGGTGTCGATGCCATCTTGGGAGCTAAGTGCCGAGACCCATACAGAGAGTCTTGAGGAGACCAGTGAAGAAAAGCTTCTTCCCCGTCAAAGAAAATTAGCTGGAGTGACAGATCTGGCTTGGAGTCTGAAGCGTCCTGGTAAAAAGAACAGTGAAAAGATAGCAAAATGACTGACTGTAAAAAGAGCACATTTCCTTATGAATTGGAAAGAAGACAGCTAAGCCACAAAGAAAGGGAAAATAGAATGAAAATGTGCCCAAATTCATTTTGCACCACTTCCTCTCTGAAAAGCATCACACCTCTCACTGTCTCCCCCCATAGAAATCTCACCTTCTCCCACTACCCCTAAAAATAGAAGTCACACATTTTTTTCTAACTCTTCAGAGAACTTTGAAAGGCCATTCCACCTCTAGAGCTCCCCAGAGGTCGGCTGAGGCTGCTGTGCCTACATGGCAGCTTGACTTGTCCTCTGCCCCATCCCATCTGTCTCTCCTCCCTGCCACAGGTGTTGAGCCAAGGCCACTCACCAAGACATGACCTAACTGCTAAGCTCCACGTCCGATTGTGCATCCCAGGGAACCTGAACAACTGCAAGTCTTTTTTGCTTCTCATCACATGATTTGTATGCAATTTTTTTTAGTGAGTCTAGGTTCAAGGATCTGCCCTAGAAATGCAACAAGGTCACAAAGAGCAATGATTACAGCCTCTCGCCTTGAAGGAGCCTACACTTTAGTTGGGGTAGAAAAATAAAACAAATACATGAGCATGACAAAATGTGCCAAGGTCACAAATGTAAAATAAAACTCATCTGGGAATGGATAGAATGAGAGGTTGAATCTTTGGGGTGTCAAGGAAGACTTCATGCAAGAGACAGTACTTCAGGAGAATTTAGAAGTGAGTAGGGTTCTAATCGATAAGTCTCACTTTTCAGATTAGTCCTGCTGGTACCCTGACCCCCAGAATCCTTCAACCCGACTGCAATCCCTAATCTGTTGAATCGTTTATCTTTACAGAGTCCTTCAACCCAACGATGTCCTCACTTCACTCCATATTCAGCTTAAATTGCAGAGTCAATCACGCCCTTGAAAACACACTAAATTCCCTTGCTTCTCTCTGCCTTAGTCAAACTCACACTGCAAAAACATAACCTTAAGTCCACTTTCTGCTTCCTTTGTGCCTGCACTCATGAAGCTGAACCTGGGGAAGATATACAACCATTTGCTCTCTCCACCTCACTGAAGTGCTGGGGGGACGTGTTCCCACTGGACCAAACTGAATCTGATGTGTCCTTAATCTGCTATAGATATGACTTCTCCTTTTATCTCTCTAAGGATATTAGAAACTTTGTCCTTTAAGTTATCTTCTGCTCCTTGTACTCTATTTCTTCCAAGTTCATTTTTCACTTTGTATTATTTGCTTTGCTTGTTTTCTTTCATGCTGTAGACTGTCCTCAAACGTCTGGCCATCCTTTGTGTTCATTCATATTAAAGAATAAGGTACTATAACACTGATTAGAGACATACATGGTTGGCTTCACTGAAGGGCGATCTGGTGCCCACTCAGTGTTTTCACTGAGATGGTTCACAGTCTCCAGAGAAAGATCCTCCCGTTTCCTGTCTGCTAGGTAGAAGCTGGCTGCTGGCTTTTTCATGCTGGAAGTGGGGAAAGGCTGGGACCCTCACTGTTCAATGTGCAAACTTTCACCTAATCTCCTTGATTTCCATGAGGCACCTCACTACTCCCCTCCTTTGTATATGGTATCCCCACACCCAGAACCTCCCTAGTTCAATTTCTCCAGAAAAATATTCTGTCATCTTCCATAAGAATACAGGTGGGGTACTCACCTATCAGCCAGGTGTGGAACGGGAACCTATGTATCTAAGTGCTCCTTATGTCTAACAACACTCTCCTTCCTAGCCCACTGCCTCACTCCTGCCTTCCTCACTATCTGTCTGGCCTGCTTTGTGAAAATCTTCTAGTCCTTCATGGCAATATGACAAATGCCTAGTTACCACTGTCAACATAGTTGGTGTATTATCTATAGTCTTCTCCCCACCCAAGGCTAATGCCACAATAATAAGGTGTGAAAAACCACCCTAAAATCAGTGGCTGAAAACAACAATCATGTGTCCTCCTGGGTCTTAGGTTAACTGGGGGACAAATGATCTAGGCCAGTCTGGGCTAGATCGGAGCTCTGCTTCAGTGAGGTCACCAAGATTGGCTATGTTCCACATGTTTCTTCTCTTCCTCCGGGGACCGGCAGGCTAGCCAGGGCACGCCCTTTTCCTAGTGATGGCAAAGGCATGAGGGAGCAAGTTCAGTTGCACAAGCACATTTCTAGCCTCTGCTTGTGTCATGTCTATGAGCATCCTATTGGCCAACACAAGTCACATAACCAAGTCCAGAGTCACGGAATGATCAAGTACAACCAGCTGCAGGGGGAGGGCACAGCAGTTATAAGGCAAAAGATGTGAATGTATAATTACAATCTTATTACTGGAGGGGAGAGGACTGAAAAGAATTGGGACAATAATCCAGTCCTCTTCCAGGTCACATTCCATCACCACCTACCCAACCTATGACAGCTGAAGCACTTCAAATAACTCCTTCCTACAGATTAAGTTAATATACAACTAGAAGAATAAATCTGATACTCTCAATGTTTGTATCCAAAACTAGCCCTTTTTTTAAAAATTGTCCACATTACTGTTTGCCTCTTTAGTAAGGATAATTAAGAGAGTATAGACTTCCGGTCAAGATGGCGGCGTAGGTAAACGCGGTATTGCGTCCTCCCACAACTACATCAAAGTTACAACTAAACTACAGAACAACTATCATTCAAAACCGCCTGACATCAAGCTGAATGAAAGTCCTACAACTATGGGATTAAAGCAGCAGCCACATGGAGACTGGTAGGAGGGGCGGAGGCGGAGGCGGAGGCGGAGGCAGACGGGCTGGTCCTACACCCACGTGTGGCGGATAAAAATCAGGAGGACACCGCGGCTGGGAAGGTCCTTCCTGAGGACTGAGGGGGTCCCCGTCTCACACCAGGTGTCCCGCTCAGGGTTCCAGTGCCAGGAAGAGAATCCCCATAACTTCTGGCTGGAAAACCAGCGGGAACTGAGGCTCAGGGAAGCTGAAGCGGCTGGAGCCCCAGGCAGCTCCTTAAAGGGCCTGAGCATGGACTTATCGGACTCTCTCCCTCTAAGCTTGGAGGGGAGGCAGCTCGAGGGGCACCAGAGACATACAGGGAAGAACTGAGCTGTTTGGCACTGAAGCAAGGGCTGGAGAGGGGGCTTTCCAGGACAAACGCTTTTTCCGGGACAAACGTGCTGTCAGAGGCCTTTGTTCCTTTGGTGAGCCTTTCCCTGGGGCGGCAGACAGTCGCCATATCTGGGCCTCCAGCAACCTGGCTCACACTGGTAGCCCCGCCCTGGTGACTCCCTGAGGCCCCTGCCCCGCCCCACCCAACTTTCAGGCCCACCCAAGCTGTTGCCAGTTGCTTTACCATAGGATTGGCCTGTCTTGGATCCTGCTTCAGGTTTTTCCTAAATTCTTTCAAACAAGCAGCATCTGGTCTCAGCTAGCCCCATATCTCTCGTCAAGTAATACATAGAAACAAACACAGGGAGGCAGCCGTAATGAGGAGACAAAGAAACAGGTCCCAAATGAAAGAACAAAACAAATCTCCAGGAAAAGAACTAAGCGAAATGGAGATAAGCAATCTAACAGATGCTGAGTTCAAAGTACTGCTTATAAGGATGCTCAATGAAATTAGTGAGAACCTCAGTGAACTTAGTGAGGGCCTCAAGAGCATAAAAAAGGACCAGTGAGAAATGAAGGAAGCACAGTCAGAAATGAAGGAGGCACTAACTGAAATAAAGAATAATTTACACAGATTCAATAGTAGAGTAGGTAAAGCCAAGAAGCAAACCATTGATTTGGAATATAAGGAAGCAAAAAACACCCAATCAGAACAGCAAAAAAAAAAAAAGAATCCCAAAAAAAGAGGATAGTGTAAGGAGCCTCTGGAACAACTTCAAGCGTGCCAACATTTGCATCTTAAGGGTGCCAGAAGGAGAAGAGAGGGAACAAGAAATTGAAAACCTGTTTGAAACAATAATGGCAGAAAACTTCCCTAACTTGGTGAAGGAAACAGACATACAAGTCCAGGAAGCACAGAGAGTCCCAAACAAGATGAACCCCAAGAGGCCCACACCAAGACACATCATCATCAAAATGCAAAATGTTCACAACAAAGAGAGAATCTTAAAAGCAGCAAGAGAAAAGCAGATAATTACCTACAAGGGACTTCCCATAAGACTGTCAGCTGATTTCTGAACAGAAACTTTGCAGGCCAGAAGGGAGTGGCAAGAAATATTCAGAATGATGGAAAGCAAGAATCTACAACCAAGATTACTCTCTCCTGCAAAGCTGTCATTTAGAATCGATGGCCATATAAAGACTTTCCTAGACAAGAAAAAGCTAAAGGAGTTCATCACCACCAAACCATTACTATATGAAATGTTGAAGGGTCTTTTTGAAGAAAAAGATAAAAAATATGAACAAACAAAATGGCAATGAATACATATCTATCGACAATTGAATCTACAAACAAAATGAACAGGCAGAACAGAAACAATCTCATAGATACAGAGAACATTTTGTTGGTTGCCAGATGGGAGGGGGGTTGGGGGAATGGGTGAAAAAGGTGAAGGGATTAAGAAGAACAAATTGGCTGCTTAACTGACAAATTTCAAAGAGAAGGGGGTTGGGGGGTGGGAGGAAATAAACCAAAGAACTTATATGCATAACCAATGGACACAGACAACAGTGGGAAAAGGCAGGAGGGGGGCAACAGTGGGGAGGAGGGGGTCAATGGGGGGAAAATGAAGAACATCTGTAATACATTCAACAATACAGATAAAAAAAAAAAGAAAAAGAGAGTATAAGTGGCCCAGTTGGTGTTGCTCAGTGGTTGAGCATCGACCCATGCACCAAGAGGTCACATGTTTGATTCCTGGTCAGGGCACATGCCCACGTTGTGGGCCTGATCCCCAGTGAGGGGCATGTAGGAGGTGGCCAGTCGATGTTCTCTCATCGATGTTTCGATCTTTCTTTCCCTCTCCCTTCCTCTCTCTGAAATCAATAAAGAAAAAAAAAATGTTTTAAAAGAGAGTGTAAGTATACTTTTTCATGGGGAATCCCTACCCGACAACTCATTCAGCCCTTTCTACCAAAAGCAGGTATAAGCTACATAGAAAAGGTAAAGGAGCTCTCTGAGAAAAAACACAGCCGCTACATAGCCTGTGACTTTAAGTCATACTTCATTTCATCTCCTGTCCTTACACGAGAATGAAAATTTGAAAAATTAAACTGTTACATCAGCTTCTGAACTGCTTCACACAGCTGCTCGGGGAAGAGTGCTAGTTCAAAGCAGGGTAGGGCACGGGACAAAGACATCATAGAAGGTTCAGAACACAAAACAAGACGGAAAAACGGTAAAAAGGATACTGAGAGGTTATAAACAATTCTTGCTTTCTTCAAGTTCAGCATATCCAGCAAAAATAGAACGAAATATCTCTATTACTTCCATTACAAGATAAACCTTTTACTTCTTTACCCTCATTGTACCAAAGGCTGGCCCCTTCATAAAGCTCTGAGGGAAAAGAGGCATTCGTTGCCCGCGAACAAAGTTTTTTGTTTTTGCTTTGTTGTATTGACTTGGTTATGAGTGATATCTGAACAAAATGTCTTCATCTAGTTTAGCACTTTTTTCCACTATACCCTTAAGAACACAGAGACTGAAATAACATCTGAGAGTCCCAGAAGTATTCTGAGCTGAGAACATAACAAAAGCTCTGCTATGCTACATAAAATTGAGCCGAGATTCACAGATAATAACAATAATGCATTTCTGCTTCATGTTTTTCATCTTGATATGTCTGAATTACTCACTCTTGAGAGCCACCATCTCTCAGATCAGAAGGCTGTGATGTTCATGGCTCCATAAACAAGGAGAAATAAACAGGGTTCTCAGACATATGTCTGTATCAACTTTCCGCCTTCTTCAATTTTCACAGAGAAATGTTGCCCTTAATGCAATGGGTATTCAAAACTAAGAAATCAGGTGCCAATTAATGAATTCACTGTTGCATAGCTTAGGTTTATTGTCCATGGTTGACATTTCAAATAATGTAATCTTCCGATTAATATTCAAACTCATACCATTTTGCAAACAGTTAATACAAAATGTACCAAAAGTCTACATTTCTAAATGGCCTTCTCACTCCCCGCAAGGATTACAGAATTCACTCTGAGTTACTGGTCATGTGTTTTATGCCAGGAATCTACGAGAGGGAAACAAATACCTTCAAGGAAAGGAGGTGCTTGTCTAAGGCACGAGCAAGTTCCAGCATCATCGCGCACGGCACGGCTGAATCAGTGGCTCCCACAAACACCCTGTTGTGCCAATGATGGAAAAACTTGGAGTCATAGTGACAGGCGAGGACCAAGTGTCGTTTAGCAGTGGGATTGAGAGTGCTGATGATATTTGAGAAAGATCGATACCCATAGGGTGTCTGACTCAAGAAGGTGTCTACTTCCAAGACCCAGCCGGCTTGAAGTCTCTGAATTCTCTGCATGATGTGCTGCTCAAAACAAAACAGAAAAATTCAGATCAAGACAGGTTTCATTTGTTCAGTATGTTTTAAAATGTTCATATGCCTTTCAAGTTAACAATGCAATACATGCTTATTGAATTAGTAGCAAGGTTGTGTAAAGGAAAAACTAATCTTCTCCCTCCCCCATTATTCCCCCTGCCAACTGTTAATATTATTAATGTTAACAGTCTGATGTATATCTTTTCTCTGTTTATACAAACATATACTAGCACACAAACACATATATTTTGCAGAGGGGTATATGTGTTTATAGGAATAGAATCTTACTCTTCTCACTTAACAATCTAACATGAACATTTCTACATGTTGGGAGATAGAGATCCAGTTCATTATGTATTAAAGTCCACTTTCCATTTTTCTAGGAGGCTCAGAAGGCATGTTTGAGAACTCATATACCAGAGACCTAAAGGTCTCGACTTCCACTCTAAGCTCTTTGAGGGCAAGCACTGCACCTGGTAGCTCTTTTGGTCCCCAGTGCATAGCATGTGCCCCAAGTCCAACAAATACTTCATAAAATGTAATGAACACTAACCAAAGATACTAAAGCTCACCTGCTAATAATAATATAAAAGGAGTCCCACAACAAGGTGATGGTTAGAGATACTTGAGGTCCTGCTCACTCTAAGAATCAATGAGCAACTCTGAACCATAGTGACTATCAAGTAGCTTTCCTTCTGCACTCGAGGGTGCAGACCCACTGCACATTCTGGTAAAAATAAACCCATCTCTCCTGGTAATCTTAGGCCTTACGAGCAACACGATAAATGACAGGAGGAAGTAGCAAATAGAAAAGAAACTCCACCTCAGGCACTGAAGGGTCTTCTTTAAAAATCTAGAATTTGTGGTGTAATATGTTACAGGTGAGTTCATCACTGGTCCATGTGCCTTTTCCTGCCTTTATTTTCCCTTTGCCTCACTTTTCTCACTGGGTTCCATTTATTTTATTTCGAAATATATACATCTTTGTAAGTTGCCTTAAAGGATTTTTTTAAGTCAAAGGACAAATTAACTATCCACATAATCTGCAATTCATTCCACAATTAACATCAGTGGGGATGGACCTTGAGGTGATAAACAAAATAATAACTGGAAAAGAATAGGAGATATTTTTTTCTCCCAAGGAAATACAAAATTTCCCAGCCTCGCCAAGTCTTGTGTGGCCTCCTGCCCTAAGTAATGTGACATGACACGTAGGCAAGGGCCTTGGAAAAGCTGTGGCAGGAAGCTTCCAGGAAGAGAACAGTGACTGCACAGTCAATCCTGCAAAAGCCAGAAGAACCCATAATTCTCCAGCATTCACTTTCTGTAGCAAGGTGGACTTCAGCCTAAGTATCTCATATACACAGTACCTTACCCTTTTCTATTTCAGGTTGACAAGTTATCTTTTCATATAAAAAAAAAAAAATGTTTATAACCTTGTCAAAATTAGCATTTATATCTCACTTATTTTGTTATTCTCCACAACTCTTAGTATTGGGCTTTGCTCACAGTTGGCTATCAGTAAATACAGTTCAACTGCCATTAATAAATTATATTATTTCTTTCTTTTTTTTTTTTTTATCCTCACCCGAGGACATTCTTCCATTTTTTGTACAGATAGAATGGGAGGGAGAGAGAGAGAGAAACATCGACGTGAAAGGGACACATCGAGTGGCTGCCACCCACACGACCAACCAGGGCCGGGGACAAACTGCAACCGAGGTACATGCCCTCAGCGGGAACCGAACCCGAGTCTCTCCGGACCGCAGGCGGACGCTCCAACCGCTGAGCCAAACCGGCCAGGGCTTATTTCTTTCTTTTAAAATTTATTTTTATTCTTAACTGTTCGTCTCAATTCGAATATATAAAAGTATATGCTATAGAACATTAGTAATCTGAATAGAGAGAAAGCACTGTGCATCTAAGACCAGCTTTACACAGAATATGAAAATAAGTTATCTCCAGACCTGGGGGAAATTTTTTTTCCATAAAAGGGGTCATCTAAAAAAATTTCAAAAGGCATGTACTATGATTCCAGAACATCTGGTATCCAGATGATGAACTGTTCCATGAAATGTCTTCAGCACCCATAGCAGCTTGCACGCTTACAAAATGAATTAGGATTTAAAAATTTTTTTTACTGAATTTGGATTTTAAAATATATACCTGTTGGCTTTGCTTAGCTGAAGTCTCACACATAAACTCATTTCTCAACTACTAAACCAGCTGTTATAATTTCTGATAACTGTGTTGACACTAAAATCCTCAAAAGCATCAGCAAATACTCCAGAAAGAATTCTCTCTAAAGTAATCTTTTTTATTCAGTATAAATATTTTTATTTGTCTTAGCAACTAATTTCTTTATAAACAATCAAATTGGCTGCATAATCTAATTATGTCACCGATATCTTTCATTGTTGTGTTTTTGGCTTTCAGACTTAATTTGCAAACTCCCACTACAATTCTATGGCGTAGGCTGCAAAAACTAGTGCTCTTCTCACTAGAATGCCCCTGGGCAGGGAGTGCTGGGCTGTGGGAAGGAGTCTAAAGCTTCCCTAACTCCAGGTAGTAAAATGCAATTTTAAATACAGGCTAGCTTGGCTAATGTGGTTCAGTGGTTGAGCGTTGACCCATGCACCAAAAGGTCACCGGTTCAATTCCTGGTCAGTGCACATGCCCAGGTTGTGGGCCCAATCCCCAGTGAGGGGGCATGCAGGAGGCAGCCAATTGATGTTCTCTCTTATCAATAAAATGTAGGCTATATTTTGGATTATTATATATCTTTTTATTTTTTTAATGGGTACAAGAGAAACAGAGATGAATAGATGGAGACAGAGAGAAATGAAGAGAAAGATAGGAGACTGATTAGAGAAAAAAAAAAAAACAAAGATAGAGGTGGAGACCAGGAGAGAGAGAAACAAGCAGATGGGGGTAGAGAGAGGAAGAAAAAAGATAAAGGCAAATATGTCATTCCACTCTGGGGAGTTGCAGGGGAGGGAGAGGGTAGGAGACGTTAGTTTAACAGCAGTGAATGATCCTGGGTCTAATTTAATGCAACTTAAATTCTCATTTCCAGGTTCTGAGAAAGAATGACATTAGTAGACCAGGTTTGTTTGGAGGAAGAAGATTCTGCCGTATTTGCACTAAACCTGCAGAGAGACCGCTGCCAGGATGCTGAATCCTGCCACTGGGGACCTCATGTACCTCTTCCTCCTTGTACCACATATAGTCTCTCAGGCTCCAAGATGAGGACTCTCCATCCAGGGCCCTCCTCTGGGATACACACACCTTTCATTGAAGAAGTCCACACTTTTCAGCTTCTCAGATGCACTGAACATTTATAGGGGACTTTAGCCCCGAAATTTCTAGCTCATCTCTTTTAGACAAAGTTTCTGGCTTGCTCCTTAGTGCGGCTTTGTCATCTGGTATTTAAATTTATATTTTTTCCTATCTCAGCTAGAAATAACTCAAATAACCACAAAATTTAATGCCTTCAAATTATTCATTTTACACATAAATTATCTTCTCAAATACAAATATTCTAAAATTCCAGTAGTCAGTCCTATTGATTAAAAATAATAAAAATGCAGATGAAGGGATATTGTTCCCATATTATTCTCTGAAAGGAATCCATAGCAATGTACATCTTCACTGATAACTGCAAAAGTTTACCCGCTAACCAATTTTATACCAAGTCCACATTTTTTTAATTTGAGAGTCTTCTCTAGTTATAACCCTGAAACTCTATAAATTATAAAACATCAGATCTAGTGCTCAAAAATGCTTCAAGAGTAAAACTAAATATTCCACCATTTGGGTTTAAAATTTGTTCTCAGGGAAAGGTAGTAACTCCAATTAAGGTCATTAGTCTAGTTCCCTCACAATAACTCAAGTGTCATCCACCTCATCTTCAAAAGTGGAAATCCTTTATCTTTCACAGCTTAGGGGACAGCTCTCTAAAATCTCACAGTGATTTTCTTCTCAAAAACTTAAAAGTGAGCCCAGCTGAAATGGCTGAAAATTGAGCCCAGCTGGAGTGGCTCAGTGGGTTGAGAGTCATCCTGTGCATCAAAAGGTTGCCAGTTAGATTCCCAGTCAGGGCACACAGCCAGGTTGTGGGTTCAGTCCCCCTATAGAAGGCAACCGATCAATGTTTCTCTCTCACATGGATCTCTCCCTTTCTCTCTCTCAGCATGTCCTCCAGTAAAGATTTAAAAATAAATAAATAAAATTGAATCTCTCTTTTTTTTTTATCCTCACCAGAGGACATTTTTCCATTCTTTGTTCAGACAGAGCGGGAGGGAGAGAAACGAAAAGAGAGAGAGAGAGAGAGAAACATCGACGTGAGAGGGACACATTGAGTGCCCGCCTCCCTCATGACCCAACCAGGGCTGGGGACAAACTGCAACCGAAGTACATGCCCTTAGCGGGAACCAAACCCAGGTCTCTCCGGACCACAGGCTGACGCTCTAACCACTGAGCAAAACTGGCTAGGGCAAAATTGAATCTCTTAAGTGAGATTTCTAACACAACCACCCTGTTAGGAGTACTGCCACATCAGCCAGACCATGCATAGGCAGCCCAGCAGCAGTGTGTGTGCCCAACACATTCTAAAATACTGTCAATAAATTTCTCATTTGCCACCACCCCCATATGACATAGAATATGTTATATAGATTCAGTAACACTTTTAAATCAATATGTATTCTTAATCACAACAGTCTCTATGTATATTATGTGTGCTATATATTCTGTTAAAGCTAGAAAAAGACTAAAATAGCAATAGTTAAAAAGAATGTGAATAGCCACAGCAATCTTGAAAAAGAAGAACAAAATAGGAGGGATCACAATACCAGATATCAGGTTATACTACAAAGCCATTGTAATCAAAACAGCCTGATACTGGCACAAGGACAGGCATATAGATCACTGAAACAGAATAGAGAACCCAGAAATTGACCCAAGACAATATGCTCAATTAATATTTGATAAAGGAGGCAAAAAAATACAATGGAATAGACAGTTCCTTCAATAAATGTGTTGGGAAAGTTGGACAGGTACGTGCAAAAAATGAAACTAGACCACCAAGTTACACCATATACAAGAATAAACTCAAAAAGGATAAAAGACTTAAATGTCACCTGTGAAACCATAAAAATCCTAGAAAAAAACTGCAGGGAGCAAAATCTCAGACATCACATGTAGCAGAATTTTCACTGATACATTGCCTAGGGCAAGAGAAATAAAGGAAAAATTAATAAATGGGACTACATCAAACTGAAAAGCTTCTGTATAGCAAAAGAAAACAGCATCAAAATGAAAAGGAAACCTATTCTTTGGGAGAACGTATTTTCCCAAATACGTTCCCATGGGATAAGGGTTAATTTCCAAATTATACAAAGTACTCACACAACTCAACAAAAGGAAGACAAACAATCCAATTAAAAATTGGGCAGAGGACCTGAATAGCACTTCTCCAAACAGGACATACAAATGGCCAAGAGACATATGGAAAAATGCTCGACGTCACTAAATTAAAACAACTATGAGATATCACTTCATACCTGCCAGAATGGCTGCCATCACCAAGTCCTCAAACAAGTGTTGGCGAGGGTGTGGAGAAAAGGGGACTCTAGTGCACTGCTGGTGGGAATGCAGACTGGTGCAGCCACTATGGAAAACAATATGGTGTTTCCTCAAAACATTAAAAATGGAACTGCCATTTGACCCAGTGATCCCACTTCTAGGAATATATCCTAAGAAGCCTGAAATACCAATTGGAAAGAATATATGTACCCTTATGTTCATAGCAGCACTATTTACAATAACGAAGAGCTGGAAACAGCCCATGTCCATCAATAGATGAGTGGATAAAAAAGCTGTGGTACAGCCCTGGCCGGTTTGGCTCAGCGGTTGGAGCGTCGACCTGCGGTCCAGAGAGACCCAGGTTCGGTTCCCGCTAAGGGCGCGTGCCTCGGTTGCAGTTTGTCCCCAGCCCTGCGTATATACAGCCTTCTTAGCAAATGGTATGGGGAAAGGAAAAAGGTTGAATTGAATATCATTGACCTAGATTTTTTCTAATGAGGAACTGAGGATTTTGGAAAGCCCCAGTAAGTGCCCTGAGCTTCTTTCAAGAAAATGCTTTGGAGGTGAGGCCCAGGGAGTATCATTGAAATGAGAGGTATGTGGCTCAATCTCCAACTCGGGCATGAAAAGATCTGGAGCCAGAGACACTTGTGAGCACACACCACAGAGCCGGTTCCCCCCGCCAGCATCCATTCTGCAATAAGATGGAGAAGTCCAGCAGTTCGATTTCGGTCCAGATTCTGGCCTCATCAGGTAAGTGTATAATCTTGAGGAAATTAGTTCCAGTCTTTTAAAATCTGTAGCACTGGGGTAATGACAGCACTCACACAGTAGCATTGTTCTGAGGACTGAACAAGATCATTCATGCAAAGAACTCCATACAGTGCCTGACCTCAAAACAGTGGTTGGTGGAAGTCCACCATCATCACTGCTATTACTTACTCTACCTAAAGGGAGAAAAACTAAAGTGCTCTTTGGGTCTCCACCATCTAATTCCTTTGGGGAAGCAGGAGCTCTTTGGGTGGAAGGCAAGAGGTTAATGGAGTAACAGACAGTGGCTGTGTGGGCTACACTTGAGGGGCAGAAGCCATATACTGGGGAATAGAGTGGCTGGCCCAACAGCTATGCCACCGGCCTGGCAGCTGTATTCTGCCACAGCACTGGTGCCTGAACAGTTAGGCAGGTGGAGTACTCTCAGAGGAGGATACGATGGACCGGTCTCTCCACTGCTTCTCCAGCTGCCCCTTAAAATGGGGCTAGTTTGAAATAAAACAGTCATTCAGAGGTGAGGGCTCTAAGGAGGCAAGGAGGCCTTCAGGGTCCAGCCCAGCTTATGGTTTGCTCTACCTTCCATGCGGTGTCCCTCAGGCTGCAGTGGTAACACCAGTGGGTCTTGAAATCAGTTCAGTGGGTCACTATCTTTACATTTGTGTGTATAAAATGTTATGTATATATATGTATATACATATATTTATTTACTTACTTTTTTTTTTTTTTTACCATGGATCAGAGTCAGAAGCTTGAGAAAGTAGCTTATCACTGATCTTGACTCTCTCTCCAGGGAGAATACAATTTCTCAAAGGGGAATAGAGTCCTGATGGAACAGTAACTCACTCTTGGCCCAAAACTGTCAAGCAAGGACTATCTAAGGCTATTAATGTTGGGTGTTTAGGATCCAGAAGATTGTTATAGACATGATCAAGAGCTGAGCACTTACTGCCCTGTAGGATGCCACGCCCCACACAGAGATTTCACACCTAAACCGATTTCAATTAACAGGTAACACTCAACAAAACAGAATTTACTTTCAGTTGTTTGGTTTTCTTGGTTGCTTATTTTGGTGAATAATAAAGTTAGAATACAGTTCTGAATATTAGATAACTCTGAACTTTGGATATATTATCTCACGTGTGAAAGCAAGGTATTCAACAGCCTTTAGGTCTGTGCGCTGCGTTCTCACCTGGCGAGCAGCGTAACTTCCAGGGGATCCTGGATATCGCTCTATCAGCAACGGTCGCAGGTCATTTTGCCACATTTCAGAAATACTGGTGCCTTCTGCAACTTGCTGGAGAGACGATGAGTTCAAAATGGCTGGTTGGTGATAATTCTGAGGATTAAACAATATTATTTAAATGACTATTGTTTCATAATGTTTAAGACTTTCCCTGAGACATCTGCAATGGAAAAATATTGGCTTTGAATCTCAAAATAAAGGGATATCTCTTAGGTTATACAAGGCACATTGAGCTACTCAAATTAAAAACTGACCCCTAAGATCTAGAAAGTTAGACTAATTCTTTTGGCAGCTTACTTTAAAAACAAAATTAATATAATACTATTTAACATTTATTTCCTGTGTACGTTTTGATGACTTTTGGTTCAATTGCTTTGTAAATCTACGGTTTTAAAATACCAATTATTGATCTTCTGTTCTTAAGAAAACCCAGTATTTTAAAACTATAGGCAACAAACAGTATGTTTTGTTAGTATAATTGCTTTTAAAAAGGCAGGATGGTGTTACAGAATAAGTATGGTGTTGGAGTCGGAGAAGCTGGATTCAAAGCTTCTGACTGCCATTTATATGTTGTGTGACCTTGGACAGGTCCCTTAACTTCTCATTCCTCTCAAAACACTAATAAAGGAATTTAAGCTGGATCTGTGCTGTGCAATATGGTGGCCACTAGCTACATGTGACTATTAAGTTCTTGAAATGTAGCTGGTTGAATTGAGATGTCCTTTAAGTATATAATATACATACTAGATTTCAAAGATTTAGTATGAAAAAATTGCAAAAGGTTTCAATAATTTTTATAGATTACATGTTAAAATGATAATTTATGATATATTGTTACATAAATATATTATTAAAATTTCATCTATTGCTTTTTCCATTTTTAATATAGCTACTAGAAAATTTTAAATTTCTATGTGCTTCTCATTATTTGATTCTATTGAACAGCTGTACCCTACACAATTGTTCCAGTTCCTTCCAGTCAGAGTTTGATGATTCTATAACCCACTAAACTAGTACACTTTTTATCTTCAGTTGAAATTATTTTAATGTTCAATTAACATTCACATTCTTAGGTACACTGATAAATTAGTTAAGTGAAACTTAAACAGATGAATAAACGTAACACTCAAGTTTGTATTTGGGATATTACTTTATACATACTGTATTTTCTTTTGACACTAGTAGTGATAAATCATTTATTCATTACATACTTATCAGACACTCAATGATGGAATGTGCTACTCCTCCCCACTTCCCACAGGGAAGTGAGTGGTTTGATCAGATGATTTCTTCCCTACAGGGAATAATGAAGGTAGCAAGGATATTAAGTTCTTTGGAATGCAAAACAAAAATTGGGGCAGCCTTGTCTATTTGTTGAATGTGTCAAAGTAATCACATCGGTATTTCATTCCATGTCGAATACTCCATACGGCTGGTTAGAAACTGTGGAATTAGAGAATGCTTATTGCCTAACTACTTATACTCATCTACACTAACATATGTCTCAGCATTACTCTTTGGCATCATCATGGGAAGAACATGGGCTGTGGATTCAAACAAACCCTCTCAACACAGCCCCTACCACTTACTAGCTGTTAACTCTGGTGAGGCTACTTAACCTCATAAGGCTCAGTTTCTTCATCTGTATAATGGAAGTAATAATGCCTACTTCTTAGGGTAATTTTAATTAAGTGAGCTAATACATGTAAACTGCCATAGTAAATATTCTTTAAGTTTTATTTCTATTACCTTCTATCATACACAAAAGGGATAAAAGCTGAAAAGGCCATTTAGAGATGATCTAGTCCAACCTGTTTGATTTATGTCCGTGGAAACTGAGGTTCATAGAAACCAGCTGATTGTCCAAGGTCAGAGGAGAGTTACGGGTAAGTCCATGAAGAGGTCTCAGTTCCGTCCAGCACTAGTTCAGCCCTGCCTCCCTCCCTCATCTATTCGCTTCCCATTTACTCCCGAATGTTGCCTGGACATCTTAAGGTTTGTGTTTATTTACTGCAAATACATTTTAAAATATATTTCCTTAATAAATTTGTCACTGCAGCCTTTAAATTCCTTGGTACTCCAGAATCAACGTCCATCCACATTAACTCTCAAACAGTACTTTGAGAAGAAAGCCAAAGCTAAAAGACAAAAGAATGGAAATGGGAAAAGAGAAAATGAAGGTAAATCAGAAGACCTTACCGTGGTTAATTATTACTTAACTCGGCGGATGAGAGCTTGTCTAGTCTCTCCTGTGGCTCACAAGCCCCAGGCAGGGCCGCTGGCCCCAGCCTACCATGCTTCAGTCACCCTCGCATCCCTCCAGGCCCCGAGGCACTGTAAGGCTGAGCCCTGTTGGGGCCTTTGGGGCCTTCTGTCTGGAAGGCTTTTTCCTTCCTCTTCACCTGGCTAACTCCTGCTCATTGAAGGTGGTAGTTTAGAGGCCACTTCCTTGGGTTGTTACTTGTTGAATGCCTGATTTCATACAAGGTGTCAGCTCCTTGAGAGCAAACGCTCTCTTATTTTCCGTTCTCTTCCTAGCTCAGACTGAGGACTCAATAAATACTGGGTGAATTCATCAAATGAGGAAGTGACAGGTGACTATCTTTCTAAAACTAACTTCCCTGAGACTGTGTTTACATAATAGTAAAGTAAAATGGGTCTTTTGCTATCATAAATATTAAATCAGTTGAATGCACAAGCAATTTTAAAGACAGAAAAGACAGGTGGCTACCGGCTGCAAAGGAAATGCTGTAGTTCAATATCGGTGAGCTTTGTTCTTTTTGAATTTCTGATAGTCGATGCTTGTGATGACTTAGAGTTGGGTTGGCCCAGGGCAGTTATTGTGACGATCAAGAACTATTGTTTCGAAAGCTGTTTACACGGTGACTCCTTTTCTAATGATTGACAATATGCCATCCCAGAGCCTATCCGGTTGCTGTGGTCAGGGTCATGTCCACAAGTAAAGGGAATCAAGCTCATGTCTTTTTTAACAGGTGATTTATGGAGGCTTGAAAGAGTTCTTAAGGGATTTCAGAAAAAAGAGAAACGAAACAAAGAACTCTCCAGCTTTTCTAGCTGTAACAGATAATGTGGGTGAAGCACAGTTGACAAATATCACCCCAAAACTGCTTACTGGATGAATAAAGGGAAGTTACACAAGTAGGCCTGCTGATATCCTGAATACAGAGACTCGCGTGCGTTTTTCCTCAGTCTCCTGGGCTTGACCATTTAATTAACGTACTTCAGTAAAGAGCACCCCCCCCTTCTCTGCCTCCCTGGGAGGAAAAGTGCCCCTATGAAATCACAGCGAAAAAGCTACCCAGTCAGTGAAGGCTAGAGATGGAAAGCAACCACCCTCAGTTAATTACTTAAGCCTTTATATTCATTAGAGCCCTCTATGGAAAAGCATTTGACTTCTCCAACCTAAATGGAACCCATTCCATTTTTACAGAGACTCACTCTCTGAACTCAATAAACAGAAAAATCTACGTGGAGAAGAGAGGAAGGAAAAAGAGGAGAAACCTGGAGAGAAAGTGTGCGCTGGGCGTGAGGAAAGTAAACGAGGTAGAAATAGTGTTGAGCCAATGTTTAGTGCAAAGCCCAAATTCTTCTAGGTTCGGTTCAGTTAAACGACACATGGACAATTTTCTATTAGTTCAGGACTTCTCAGAGGAATGAGTCTCTGTTACAGCCCCTGCCTTATCTTTTCACCCAGGCAGAAAGGACAATAAGTCTGCTTAGGGTGACAAAAATCTTTCTGCTAAAAAAGTGTGAACCAGATATCCTGAAGCAACTCCTCCAAGCTAATCACATGGTGCCACGCCAAAGAGGGTTTTAATTACATCATTTGTAGTGCTGGCCCAGCTTGCAGAGGGATTTGAGGCTCCAAATCATTGAATTAAAGGGAGAGCATACAGAAGCTCAGCCAACTCAATTCCAGCTTTCATCCCATACGAGCGTCTCCCGACAGCACTCAGGTAACTCCTGTGTCTACCTGCAAATTCAACCCAGCCAGCATTTAATGAACTCCTTCTATGTGTGGATACCACTGACATTACAAATGCAGTTGCATTAGAGTAGGGAACTGAATAAGATAAAGGTATGTCTTCTTTCAATGCAAGCAAGCATCTATCTAAAAGCAAAGCTGTGCAGGCTTGGAACAATTCAGGGTCAAATCCCAGCTCCCTGATTTAGTAGCAACCAATCAATGTGTCCCTCTCACATCAATGTTTCTCTCTCTCTCCCTCCCTCCCTTCCACTCTTTCTAAAAATCAATGGGAAAATATTGCCAGGTAAGGATTAACAATAACAGCAAATATATAAACATATATGTCACTCTTAACAGTTGTCAGTCATTTGCACCTACGGGAGGACAGATTTTATGGGATTCCTTTCAACAGCTGGTTGACAAAGTTGTACTAAAGGAATAAGATTGGGGATTGGGGAAGGCAGGATTCAGAAGTAATTTTGGAATATGGATCAACCCCCAAAAGAATGACCTTTAAGCCCTGGCCAGTTTGGTTCAGCGGTTAGCACATCGGCCTGCGGTCCAGAGAGACCCGGGTTCAGTTCCCACTAAGGGCATATACCTCGGTTGCAGTTTGTCCCTGGCCTCAGTTGGGGTTATGCAGGAGGCAGCCACTCGATGTGTCCCTTTTACTTTCATGTTGAGGTTTCTCTCTCTCTCTTCCTTTCTCTCCCTCCCACTCTATCTGAACAAAAAATGGAAAAATGTCCTTGGGTGAGGATAAAAAAAGAAAAGAATGACCTTTAAGCTCTATAAGGGAGATTAGGGGAAGGGAGAAATAAGGAGTGAGAGAAGAGAAGGTTGCGAAAACAAACTTATTTTGGAATTCCATTTAGGGTCCACGTTGACCCAGAGAGGGGTAAGTAAGCGCTTCTTCAGGCCCTCCAAGCCTCCCACCAGCCCCACACTCCCTCACTAGCTGGACACTGTTCCCTGAACCATCAGCCAGGACCCATCTACTTTGGAGAAGAAAAGTGAGGAGAAAAGGAATGAGGTCTCTTCAATTCACTGGTGCAATCATGGTCGAGTTTCCTCATCTGTAAATTGGGAATAAATGTACCCTTCTCATAGGGGCACTGTGAGGTTCAGAATATTGCTTTTATGGAGAAATTGTTTGCAGGTTTTAAATAACAAAATCTCAATCTTCTGAACGCAACCATAAACTAGGGTTGAACTGTTTTTACATAGTGATGCCACAGGAAAGGACACACCTTTATTTCACAGCCAAGGAAAATGGATTTCAAAATCAATGCTTTACCATGCCTCACCTTTTGGCAGGCCAGTGTACCAGGGGCACACCTCACATGATTAAAATATACATGTCATAGAGAGCAGGAAGGCATGTATTTTCGTGGTGACTAATTCTTTTCCCAGGCTGCAGACTGTACTGGCTGCCTGGAGGACTTTGCGAAGGCCTACAGAAAAAGGAGGGAGGGGAACAGAAATCAGGAATTGTAACAGCTGATATTGTCATTTGTTCATTTGCTTGCTCCATTATTCCAGAAAGCATCCAGCTTCCCAAAACAATAGTGACTAGAAACTTCTTAACTATAAAAGGGACTTGTGCTTTAGAAGACATTTCCCAAAAGTTCAATTCTGATGTACACCTACTGATGAAGTTATTTTTCTTATAGTAAAGTTACTCTTGAGTTGACTTCCTGCATCCCTGCTGGGTTCCCTGTGGCTGACGGTCTCCAAGTGTGCCCCCAAATGGAGAGGCTAACGAAGCCTAACCCAGGGAACAGAAGTAGGCTGTTCAATAAGTGTGCATGTGGCGGGACGGAGCTTGCTGTGGAGCCAGTACAGGGCTGGTGTGTTCCCCAGTGTGCCTGGGTGAGTAAATACAGGCATATTGTAAGCATTTAAAAGATCTGTTCAACGACACTGTCAACGTTTATATCTCTTTACGTTGCTGCTTTTCTTCATAACTTTTTGTTTGTTTAATCTTCCCAGAGGATACTTTTCCATTCATGTTTAGATAGACATAGAGTGGAAGGGAGGGAGAAAGAGAGAAACATCTATGTGAGAGAGAGACATTGACTGGTTGCCTCCCCCACGACCCAAAGCCAGGTCTGGGGATCAAATCTGCAACCCAGATATGGGCCCTTGACCAAACTTGAACCTGCGACCCTTTGGTCCATGGCTGAAGCTCTAATCACGGAGCAAAACCGGCCAGGGCTTTTCTTAGTATCTTTAAGAACATACCATTTTACTCTGATACCATTAACATTTGCACAAGTCCCTAGCAATTTCATGATTTCAAAATTGTTACACAAGAAAGGTAAATAACTGTGAACCTGCTTACTTCACACAGAGGGCACTTGCAAAGTACTTTTCTTCTAAGTTCCTTATATGAAATGTGCACCTACAACTAGATATATTGCTCTGACAAGTGCCCTTTACTTTCTTTTAAGACAAAAATAATATTTTTAAAAGTACAGTGGATTGCCCTGGCTTGTCTGACTCAGCGGTTAGAGCAGTGGCCCACAGACCAACGGGTCTCAAATTCAGTTCGGTCAAGGGCACATACCTGGGTTGCAAGTTCATCACTGGCCCTGGTTCGCTCTTTCTGGAGGCAACCAATGGATATAAGTCTCCCTCCCTCCTTCTGTCCGTTCCTTCCACTCTCTCTAAAAATCAATGGAAAAATATCCTTGGGTGAGGACTTTTTTAAAATAAGGAATAAATTAAAGTACAGTGGGTCTCCAGTTAAGCTCCTTGGTTCGGGGCTGCTCCGCTTAAGAATCTAAAACGGACCAACAATAACACGTCTGTCCAGAGACTACATGGAAACTTCAACGTCCCCAGGGTGTCCTGGGATGCAGCGGTAAGAGACCGTGGGCACACTCCCAGGCGCGCCTGGCACCCAGGAGGTGCCCGGGAGCTCTGGGACCTCTGACACGGTGGGTCCGGAGTGGGTGGCTGCGCGGCTAAGCGCTCTCACCTCCCCGCGGGCTGCGGCTGGCGAGACACACTTCCTGTGCCTATCAGTACCCGCATCAGACCCAGCCGAGGGGAGGCCGGTGACATCACCCAGCTCCCGTGGCGTCCCCGAGGCCGGCGAGGCACCCGGCGTGGACGCAGAGCCCGGACTCCCCCAGGCGCGCGAGGCAGGCACCGCTGCCTGGGCCGGGGACCATGGCTCTGCCCCGCCTCCCTCCATGCCTAGGTGGGGCTCGCTGGACCCCAGATCCCCGCGCCCGTCAAGAGCCGCCCAGGTACAATCGCGGAACAGCAGCCCCTCACCTTCTCCTGGGTCCAGGCTGGGGCGCCTGGACTGATCCCCGGGGTTGCCAGGGGCAGGGAGGCCAGCAGCAGCAGGTGGAGGGTGGCCACGACGCGCTGGTCCCCGCTGCCTGCCATCTCTCCGAGGCTCTGTGCGCCGGGTCCCTGGGCCGCCGGCGGTCACGAATCCGGGAACGCGCGTCCTTCTCCTTTCCTCTTCTCCACCCTTGGGTCGACTGCGCCCGCCCCCCCCCCCCCCCCCATCGCCTCCCGGCCACCTCCCCACTGCGCCGCGCAGGCTG